TAAACACCTTTAACAAGAAAAGGGAGGAAATTATTTGGTTTTTTTAACCTGGTGTTTGGATTATAAAAGAAAAAAAAGTTGTTTCACACTTCGGGCTATTGAGAAATTCAAGGTAGCGCTGGAGGTGGGGAGGGGGTGGAAATCCTTCCCATCACGCGTGTTCGGGCGCAGGCTGGAGGTGGTGCCAGGGCTGCATCTCCGGGAGCAGCGGGGACTGACTCTGCTCCCCGCCGCCTCCCGAGAGCAGGGGAGACAGGCCTGGGACATGGGGTATGGGGGACATCCTGCACCCCCCAGCAAGCATCCGGCAGCGCATCCCCTCAGGGAAGGGGGGCTGCGAGGGAGGCGATGCCCTAGCCCATCGACCGGTGGTCCCCCGGGAACCACAGCCGCTTGCTCCAGGAGCAGAGCTGCGACGTTTGGGGTGACCTGATGGCGATGGATAACTGCATGTTTCCCCCTGTTTCAGGGTGGGGGGCGAGGGCGGTGGCACTGGGAGAGGAGGGGGACCATAGCCCCAGGAGAAAACACCTTCTTCCATCCCTGCTCATTTCATAACACCCAGCCATCTGCCAAATCAAGGCAGATTAAAGCCAGCCAAATTCAATTTCTCCCCGCTGCCACTGCAGCTCGGCATCTGGGGCTAAAGTGTCCCCGACAAAGCGAACATGACAGGCACATTGCTTTTTTGTCACATCTAGTACCGTGTTGATCTTCTAAAAGTCTCATAAAAATTTATTGATGTCTCCCATATTGCTGTGATTGAGAAGAAAGGGGCGCGGGTGTGTGGAGCCGGGTGCGCGCGCGCGGGCGAGCATGTGTGCGTGTGTATATTAATGTTTCTGAAGTAGATCTGATTTGATATGTCTTGTTCTATTGTCAGCATCTGTTTAGCGAGGCTTTTTAATACTTTCTGGCTGCCGATCACTCATCCTTAGCCTGGGATGCAGGCTTGCATACAAATTTTGTTATTAAACACAATTCCATTCCTCCTCCTTCCCCAACCTCCGCCTCCCCCAGCTAACCTCCCCCCTCCACCTACCCATCCATCATCTCCCCGGGGCTATGGGGATCTGGGAGCCAGCCACCCCACCGGCGTGCACTTACAAGCACAGGCACTGGGCTTGGCAACATATTTCAAGAGCCTTTTGCCTGCTGCAGGTGCTTTGCATTGACAAATCGAATCATGGGGAAATAATTTATTTCCTAATGCTGTTTGCAGCATGTTAGCAGGAGAATTTACATGAGAGAGATTACTTTAATAACCAAAAAATTACAGTGCAGGCCTCCCCGCCATGTTGGCTTTGATATGTAATTGTTTCAAGTTTAACCTGTCTGGAGGGGGGAAGGTGTTATTAAATCTATAGCATCTCCCGCTAGCGAGGGCAGGCGAGGAGGAGCACCGTGGCGGGGACCTCCTTCCCTGCTAAATGGGGAACAAGCTGAATTAACAAATCACTCCAGCCTCCGGCAGAGCTGCTGCCTCCAAGGTGCAGCTGGAGCAGAGGGGATCTTCTTTCCCTTGCTCTTACGCCGATTTAATCACGTCTCTTTCCTTCCCTCCTTTTTTTTATTGTACCTGAACCTACGCAGGGCCCACCACCTCTATGCCCCTCTCCTTGGCTTTCTTCCCAGCAACCCTGCAGGCTTGCTCTCCGCTTTTCCCCAGGGATGGGAGAGGAGCTGTGCAAGCCCCCGAGGAGGGGGAGAATCGGGATTTGACTCTGCATCGTGTGTCTGGGTTTGGGGGGTTCCACTCGTAGGACCATTTTATTCCAGCTGGAGAAATAGTTGGCGCTGCCCTCCTTTCCATGCCCCTCCGGTCAGGGTGAGGAGGCTCTTGCTGGTCCAGGGAAGGGGAGCCATGCACTTTGCCATTTGACCTCGTGAGATCCCTCGAAGCGCTCTCCCCCTTGCCCACTGCAGCGGTTTTGTGACTCTGACCCCGTTCTCTTCTCTCTTGGCAGCAAGAGCTCCATCCTGAAGGATGCCATGGCAGCGGGCACCCCCAAGGTAAGTGAGCACAATTCAGCACACTTCCCCCCCCCAAGGGATGCTCTTTACACCCCCTCTCCTTCCCAGCCCGCTCCCTGTCCTGCTACTCGGTGCCACCCAGGAAGGTGGCCATGCTTTGGGGGCAAGCCAGCATTGGGGGATGCTCCTGTCCCCATACACCCGCTGGGCTGGAGTGGTCAAGTCCCCACAGGGGCTTTCGTTCCCCGTGCAGCCGAGGGATAGTGGAGCTGAAGGACCCGGCGGGCTGCAGGACTCCAGATTGTGTCTAATGACAGCTAATGAGAGCTGATCACACGCAGGCTGAGCTCAGCCTGGGAAATCATGTGCGGGAGTTCCTGGAGCCAGAGCCATATGCCAGCTTTGGAAGAGGGGAGTGGGAATGCCTCAGGGGGAGTGAAGCACACCCGAGAAGGAGCCCAAATCACTAAAGGACCCCGTCTCGGCTGCATCCCCCTCCCCAGGACCCACCTCCCATCCCCTTGGCTCAGAATGCAAAAATACAAAATGCACAGAGCATCATGGCATCACTGCAAAGGGCATCATTTACTAATCAGCATTGCTGTGAGCTGGACTTCATATGATACGGCAGTGGGAAGGACCAGAGCTCGGGCAGGCAAGTGGATGGCAGGGAGCACTGCAGGGAAGCTGGGCATTGCACGGCCTCTGAAAACCACGCTGTGCTCCCCAAGGCAGGCAAAGGCAAGTGGTCCAGGCTCTCCTATGCTTCTGGTGACACAGTCCAAGCCAGGGAGGCTCCTGGCTTCCAGGGAGGTGCAGGGCATCTCTCCTGGGAGATGACTTCGTGCTTGTTTTAATAGAATCGACTTCAGGTCTCACTCTTCCTTTTTTTTCTGGAAGCTTTGGGTCGCTTTTGGCATGTGATGTCAGAAACGGAGACTGACATTTCAGCTCTAGGTTTTCCCCTTGGGGCTGGGTGTGTTGCCAAGCACATAAATACCTTGTCTGCTCCACCAAGCGAGGGGCTGGGGAGCCACTGTGCTGACCCAAGTTGCCGGCAGGCAGGGACACCTCCCAGGTCAACCCAACAATTTCCCAAGCCCCACAAGGGAAAATAAAGATCGTGGTGATACTCCGTAATGCTCCACACCATGGGCATTCCCATCTCTTGCGTGACTATCCTTGTCTCCCGTGCCCTGTCCCAGGGGAGACCGGAGACCTGACTATTTCTCCCTTGAAAAACAAGCGGAGCAGAAAGCAATCCCCAAACCCACCCGCCGTTGACAATCCACGGAGCGTGAGGCTGCCTTGGGATGTCTCGAAGGAGCTGGAAAGGGCACCCGCAAAATGAAAGCAGCTGGACTCTGCAAGCTTCCCTTTCCCTCCTCATCAGGTCTGAGTGTAGATAACTCAGCGGTCCCAAACACATCGCCTGCGAGGGACAAGGACGGCTAGGAAGACAGATTAGCTGTTTGGAGGGAAACGCAGCAAGTGACTGACAGAGACCAGATAAAGAAGAAGGTCCATTTCACGGCAGGGCCGGGCTTTTGAAGTTTCCATTGACAAAGAATCCCATTTGCCTTGAGTGAGGGGATTAAACTGGGACTGGAGCGTCGTTCTATGTAAAAGAGATCAATCGTCCCCTGTCACCACATGGATCTTTTCCCTTTGCCCGTCACGTCTGGGACTAAGAACATTAACTTCAAGAAGCCAGGAGAACAGGGAGGGAGAGGGTGAAATCAGGAAATCTTTCATTCCCTTCTCAGAGAGCTTGAAAGCCTCTCAGCCCAGGAGGATTCATTATTTCTAGGTGGCTTTTACTGGGAGACAAGTCCTGTGTGGCATGGGAAGGCACACGCTGTCACCTTCACCTGAGCTTGGTATTAAAGGCTCCTTTGTAACTGCATGGGATTGAGGAGGAGGGTGGTGGGGAGATGAAGGCTGCTTTTTCCCTTTGTGCCTACTGAGCGTCTGCAACATGGGGTGGGAATAGCCCATCAGGATGTGAAGTCCCTCTGAGAAAGTCCTGCTGGGGACAAAGCTGGGCCTCTGGGCCACCCTTAACAGGGGTCCCAGGAGGAGGGATGGGGGACAGACCCCCGGGTGGGCTTGCAGCCCATACCCAGGCACCCAGGCATCGCTGGAGGTCTGGCAGGCACTGCCTGGGAAGAGACAGGACCTGTGCCGTTTTCCATCCTGGGCACCGGTGGAAGGAGTCACAGCGACTGTGGGGACTGCCGCAAGGTTTCCTGGCCGGTCCTTCTCCCCGTGCCAACAACAGGACCGGCAGCTCCAGCAGCTCAGCAGCGGGGAAAAAGGGGCTGTACCTCCCCATCCCTCAGGAGCATCCCCTGGCAGCATGGGCAGGGGCAGGCTGGTTCCACTCAGGGACATGGGAACTGGAGTGGGTGCAGGCTGGTGTTACCAAAGGTGTTACCTTTGTGGTCACTGGTGGGTTTAAGAGCACTTTAGGACTCATTTAGGGCCTTTGCATATACTATCATGGGCTGTCACGGCTCCTGTGCTGGCTTAAGGCTCTTACTAGGGTGCAGCTGGGGCAGGGGATTTAACTTCCCCCCTGCTCTGTCTCCTGGCTCTGCTCCCATCCCTTCCCGCCATTGCCCCGGCAAACATCTCTCGTGGCAATAAAAGCCCAGATGTAAACGCATATTCCTCGCTCACCGCTTTCCTGCCCCTGAAGAGCTGTCACTCACTGCATTGGGTCAATTTTCATGGCAATATGTCAAAGAAAATCCAATCACTCAACATGTGATGTGATGAATGCAGGATTATTGTATCAGGTTCTTCTATTATCGGAGCCGACGGAGGCAGTGATGGCCAAGCGAGGGCTGCGAGCTGGGGGGCTCTGGCCAACATGTCTGCCCGCTGCCTGGGCTCCCTCTCTGCGAAGGCAGCTCAGAGGGCAGCGCTGAGCACCAAATAGCTCCGCAGCGTTCAGGATCCTCGTTTGCTTTCTGTTAGTGACCAAGCCCAATCGATGGTGGTATGCCAGTGTGGACAAGCCACTTGGACAAGGAGATGACAAACCTGTGTAGTGAGCCTCAGGATGAGATTTCTATCCAAGCCTGACTGCCACTTACTTAGGAAAGCTGGTGAGAGCAAGCTGGGCTCTGCCAGCCTCTGGCTGGAGAGAAGGCCCTGAGATAGCTGCTTGGTGTCTTCAGGAAGTCCCGTGGCCTGCAGACAGCAAGGGGAACAGCGTTGTCTCCTCCCAGCTGCAGTTCCTGTCCCTGATTCTGAGCTTGGATGCTCACCCCATGGCTTGTGATAGCCTTTGGTGCCTTGATCTTCATGTTGCTGAGAGCCAGGTAGCCCACTGAGCCCCCACAGGTCAAGGTGACAGCTTGCTCTTGCTGGACTGTGCTTTGCAGAAGGCAGAAGTGCAAAAAGGTGCTGAAAGCCCACCTCCTTTGCAGAAAGCACACCCAGCGGCCCTGCTCTTGGAAAGGTTTTCCTCAGGCATTGGACTTCAAGGACAGTCCTGGACATCCGTAGCATCCCTCTCTGATGACACATCTGAGACACCAGGAGGAAGAGGAGGGGTGGGAAAAGAAATCCTTCACCAAGGAGAAGTTTCCATGTTGGTGGGAACAGATGCTTCATGCCCATGGGAAGGGATGGAGGATGTCCTTGCTTTTGCTGAGCTAGAGACCATAGCTCCATGGTCCCGTTCACCGGTCTGGGCTGGGCGTTGCTCACTAACCTTTCACTGTTGTCCTGGGTCACCACAGGGAAACCCAACACCAGAGCCATTTAGGAGGGCACTTTCCGAAGGTGTGTCCGAGCCAGCCATGCCCCAGACCTCTGTGAGCCCAGAGCTTCCCTGCAGCACTCCCCAGCATGGCCAGAGGCCATGTTTCAGGCAGGCCAGGCATCAGGGATATCTTGCAGAGGTGTACAGACACCATGGGCTCTGTCCAGGCTCGTGGCTGCCCAGGAGTCTGTAGGTAGCTGTCAGCAGCATGCAGTTCCCCCAGGCATCGTTCCTGGGTTTCACCCTTACCTTTCCCCTCTCGCCTTAGCTGCCTCTTGCAGGGGGTTGTGCAGGAGAGGAGCACACGTTGAGTTGAACCCATGTTGGTGAGGTGTATGAGCAGTCTAAATCTGACTGTTCCTGTTCTTCCTTGAGCAGCTGGCAGTAACTCTGAGAGTCAGCATTCCCAGGTCCTTCTAGCTACCTAAGAGCACTTATTTGCCGCTGCCTGTCTGGCCTATGGCTCTCCCTCCACGGGCCATCATCTAGGTGGAATATCATCTCTGCCCAGAGAGATCTCAACCCCTGAATCTCAGGATATTAGCTGCAGACTGTTACCTGTCACCTAATGGCGTCCACTGAACTTTCTTATACCCTCTCTGAAAGTGCTGGTACTGACCGCTGAAAGGGAAGAGGCTGGGCTCTGTGAAGCATCCCAGCTCTCGTGGCAGGTTGGGCATTCCCTTTCCACTGCTGCTTCCTAATACGTGACTGCAAACTGCCTTTCCCACTAAAGGTCCAGCCCGTGCACTGGCTCTTGCTGCAAACACTGAAGCGAGCAGCCAGGAACAAAATCCATCTCCCACGCCCAGCAGATGCTTGCGGACGGTTTGTTTAGGTGTGCACCCAGCTCCTTGGAGGGTGCCCGCAGGCAGGTGGCCAGCACACTGCTCCGAGACCTCCGACGGAGCTGGGAACCGAGCCACAGTGCCAGAGCCCTTTGATTCCCCCACCCACCCCCATGATTTTACAGCTTCACCGAGCAGTTTGAGAGAGAATTACAGCACCTAGAGGGAAATTTGACCACTAAAGCCCTCCAAGGAAAAAGAGCTTTGAAACAAGCAAGATTTGGAGCCTTAAACCTTGACAGAATGTCTGTATTAAGCCCTTCCCAGCTGCCTCACTCGAGATGAAATTTCTAGCACAGTCATTTAACTTCTCCATATCATGTCTGACGGTAGGAACAGGGGACGGGTGTTAGGGCCCTCGGGTTTTAACTCCTTCTCTTGTGTCACTGACTTTCTGGGGTGGTTTGGAGAAGTCA